CCTTAAAATTCTTTTCTAATTTGTCCATTTATGCATATGCCAATAGAAATGAGAGATGTGATCCCATAGGGAGTACACATGTTTGTTCATAGATGTTGCCATTGAAGGTGAAATAGGGAGCACTTATTGTCAAGTTGATCCCAGGCAGAAATCTTTTAGAAGACATTCTGTTGCAGGTCATCAACATCTCCGAAAAGTTCCCTGAGGATGGAGAGGGAAATAGGCCCTAGAATGTTGACACTTCATGAACCAACGCACATGGCTAGAATACGAAGAACCCCAGAAATGGATGAACAATTGGTCCTTTAGTCGGACAAAGAAGGAACGACAGTTGTAATGGACAGGAAACAATATACCGAGACCTCGTTTTCGCAACATGGTCATATTTGTAGGAAGACTTAGAGGACGTACCACGTCCACGGTTTAACTTTGGAAATAATAATGCAGACAATGGTCTCCGGAAAAGGTGTGTTTTTCTAAGTCTTCCTACCAAAATGACCAAGTTGCGAAAGCAAGGTTAAACAACTTTTTAAAACAACGAAAGGAGACTGCGACTACAAAAAAGGTCACACCATCTTGGTATTCATACCTTGAATATACCGAGAAAATGGAATGCATGCGGCAAGACAGGACTACGTATCGTGTTTTAAAGAATGATACAACTATGCAGATCAATGGAATCTTACGGGACATGCTGAAAATATGCAAAGGAATGGGGAGATCAATGGATAGACAATAGATTTACTAATAAAAAAGGAGGCATGACTACCAACAGCCTACGGGTTATCGAAATTACACAAAGAAGGAGAACGAAATGAGGATGAAAGTTAACACAAACTATGTAGCAACATGAACCTGGTCATGTGCGTCGGTTCATAAAGTGTCAAGATTCTAGGGCCTATTTCCCTCTCCATTTCCCTTTTTGTCTCCTCAGGGAACTTGTCGCAGATATTGATGATCTGCAACAGAATGTCTTCTAAAATATTCTGCCTCGGGTCAACTTGACAATAAGTACTCCCTATTTCACATTTAATGGCAACATCTATGAACAGACATGTGTACTCCCTGTGGGATCACATCTCTCATCTCTTTTGGCAAATGTATAAATGGGCAAATTAGAAGAGAATTTCAAGACCCTATCGTTTCAAGCAAGAGTTCTTATGCGCTACGTGGATGACTGCTTTGCAATGGGGTCGCATGGAGGAGAAGAAATGACAGATTTCCTGAAGTTGTTTGAACCAGATTGATGAAAGAATAGAGGTAAAAACTGCTGAAGAGGAAGAGGAGCGTTTGGCTTCGGTCCACTGTGACAGTCAAGAGAAAATTGTTCCGAAACAAGTCATACGACGGGATAATACTAACTTTCGAGTTCCATCACAACTACACATTCAAGATAGGCATATTGAGGAACATGATCATCAGAAGCACTGTCACTGGGAGTGAAGAGGCGATGGCAAAACTGGAATTGTGAAAGAAAAATAAAGATAGGGAAAGATTAACAAAAGTGGATATGACTCCCTTCCTGTCAACTGGCTTAACATCTACGGCCAATATTAATAAGATGAAATATTCCGGTGACCACGACGTAAGAAAGGGTTGCATTCCTCAGGAGTTTACGGCATAGCAGGCGGCGTCTGGGAGCAGAAGTACATTGGCGAAACTGAGAGAAGAATCGGATTACGAATCAGGGGAGAATGGATACTGAAAGATTGGCTATTGCGGAAGACATCGCAGAGACTGGACACGAGATCAGTTGCCAGGCAACAGAAAGAAGCACCTCATACAGTCAGAGCACAAATAGACGCAAGATTAGACAGGCCATTGACATCGTTGGCTGTCAGATGCTGGAAATTATGTTGACTACGTCGGACAAGGTGCATTCTATT